ATAGCAAAAAGTCTAACGACACCTACTTCTCGACATCTCTCACTTTGAAAATTCATAACTCGGTGAGATCAAGTCCAAATGGCTTAAAAATTAGTTTCTAGACGTAGTTTGATGCATAGAATCCAAATATGTAATAAAAAATAGGGGCCGATTTTGACCATGTTATGGCCTTTGTGAAAAATGCTCGATCCGCTCAAAAGGTCTCTTAAGTTTAGAATTTTTGAAGAAGACGAAAAACTAATTTTTTTTAATGAAATATCGATACGAAGATAATGCGTTTTCATATTTCACGTCAGTATGAAACATAAAATAATAATAAAAATTAATTATTAATAGATTCCACTCAGCGCATACAAGAAGTTTGTCAAAGTTTTCAAGAGGTAGAGAGAGAGAAAATAAAATATGTAACGATAGGCGGCCGTTACAAGGGGGGAGGGCGCACTTTTAAATGAAGAAGGAAATTTATTAAAAAATGGCACTTATATAAAACTACGATCACCATCGGCAAGCGGACATCAGATCCGAGCATTTCCTTTCGCAATAAATCATCATCACGATCACCATCGGCACAAAAATATATAGGAACAGGATCCAAAATTAAAAGATTATCAATTATCATCAAAAACCATTGTATAATATTATTAACTGTTAATATTTTATTATTGTACACTAGTTTTTCTGGAAAATATTTTATCATAATAATAATTTGTTGTTGGTGTGTAAAACCGAACTGGAGATTATCTTTGTTATAGCAAGTTAGAGAGGGCTAACGTTTTCTTATATATAGTATGATAGAAGAAAATGTGTTCTTCAAAATGAGACGATTTCCAGACTTTTTCGATGGGTTTTTGTAGAGATATAAGCATCACCGCAAATGCCGTGAAAAACAGAGCTCTTACAATACGTGTTTTTCTCACTATAAGTTTTTCCATGTAATTTTTTCATTTACTGGATCTGGCTATTGATAACATGGGACATGTAAATCGAACGTGACGTTCAAAAAGTCTACATCAAATACTGATTCGGCCTAGGTGAACAATAACGAATATTATTAAGATGTCTTTTGAACACATAGGAAAGTCTCATGTTTCAATTTGACTACATTCTGTATATTCATTTAAATTCACCAATTTTTCATAAAGATGTATTTGTAAACATTTTCTCTTGCCATTATTTGTTTGTAAATATGGCTTGTTGATCTAAATATACCTGGCAATAATGAGCAACAAAGTTGAGAATATAACCAGTTTTTCCATATGGAATTAATTTTTCAATATTCGTATAAAATTCACAACTTTTATTACTAATTGATGACCTTGATATTATAATTTGTTGTTTAATATCAGCTAGAATTAGTTGTTGTACTAGTGAAAACACATTAACAGAAAATAGTACAAAACAAAAGAGAAATGACATTCTTTTTTTTATTGTTTTCTTCAGATTCATATTTAGACTACGTTTATTTATAAATTGGTATAGAAAAATAAGACGTGGAAAACACCATCTATGTAAAAAAAGTGCGAATGTAAAACGTTCTACATAACCATATTCTATTTTCTCAGTTTATATTCGTCGGTTCGAGTTACTTACGAATTATATTGACTTTCTAAATAGGTTGTTAAAGAATATCCTGTTTCAACCGTTTTAGATCAATGACTAAGTTCATTTATTAGATAGACAGCCACTACTGGGATCAGAAATATTATCTCATACGAATCTGAAGATATAAGATACAAGAAAAACTCGATCGACAGCTAAAGTTTTAAAGTTGGTGGCGTGGCTAAACATTTCTGTCTGTAATCACATCTCTCCCATGCTTGTTACACATACTATCACAACAATCGTTCAAGTACTTGATAAATATTTTCGGTCGCTTATATGAATCTTGAAACTCCTATTGAACTTTTCAATTGATTTAAAAAATCTTTGATCGATTATGTTATATCAACATTAATCGTACAACTAAAAATGATACGTCAAATCGAAAACGAAAAAAGTGATATTATAAAAGATAACTATTTTTGGTATATGGATTAAATATATTACACACACGGTCCAAATCGAATCGTTTTGAATAACAGAAATTGATTTTTTCTTCGTACAGACATCAAATGATAAACTGTAGTAATAACAGTGAAAAACATACTGAATTAATGTTTTTCTTATTAGAAAGCCTTTTAATAATTCGGCTGTTGGAATAGCTAGAGATTTGAGTGAAGAGATCTATCAGAAACAAGTGGAAATTTGCAGACGAGTGAGTCAAATGCTACAAACATGTCCATATCATTGTAACTCATTCTCAAATTGAAACAAAGAATTTTCAAAATCGAAGCTCAAAAATTTTTATAGCAGGGAATGGGCCCTATCCATCCCAATCAGGGCACCTCTGAAAAATTGACTTACTTTGTTGAGATAGCTCCATCTGTTTAAAAAGAGGATATTACTCTAGAACTTGAGCACAAACCTATGCAACTAATTAATCTGTCAATACATTCACTAACAACAAATCTTTGCCTTTCTAAGAGAAAATTTAATTTTATACGAGTCAGAAAACTATTTGATACACGTTTTTTCTTTTCTGTTTTACGTCAGGTATACTCGAAAGAATGAAAAAAATTTTTTTTTTGAACGAAAGAAAACAAGGGACAACACATTTTGAAAAGAAAACGGTTTTTTTTTTCTGTTCAATATAGAACAAAAAATTTATTTTAATAGTGAGTCACCTTCTTACTGTCTCATTCAATCCATGTATTGAATTTAGATGTATAAGATGTATATGCTAGGTCATGTGAGAATTTTATCATTGACAAGTGTCAACTTCTGAAATTTTTAATGATTAAAGAGTAAAAAATAATTTTCCGTATTTAATAGAACTCACAGATAGGTAAGAAAGACGTGGTAAGAAAAAACATAAAATTTTTGTCATGAATCATGGTATGATCCATTCTTTTTTAAACAAATGTTCAATTGATTGAGTAATTGCAGCTTTTCTTCTCGATTTGACCTCCTTTTTCTAATCGAACATTTCTCTTCTCTTTTACGACAGAAGAATAATATAGACTTGTCATACTTCTCTATTATTTAGGAGAGTGACACTTTGTTTTATGCGTTTTTATTAGAATTAATGCCTAGGTAGGACTATTAATACATCACAGTGACACTATTTTGTACTTCTCAATATAAAATTTGCTCTCAATACGAGTCCACAGCACATAAATTTATTATAAGGATTAAGAAAAAGATAAATAAAACGTAAATTGAATCGGCCTACAAAATAACAAAAAAAAAAAAGAGAATAAAACAGAACATTATATTGAGAGAAATGTATATACAGATGGACAAAAATTTTTTTTTCACTCTCTATTGAAACACATCCATCGGACGATGGATATTTTTTTTTTACCATTCACAATTTTGATACACATATTTTTGTTCTTTAAAAAAAATATTTATGCGTAGAAAACCAAATGGCAAAAAAAAAGATAATTTTCGTACATATTTTTAAGTTGCATGAGTATAAATGACAGGAGAAATGTATCTTATCAATAAACTAACTGTTGAAATCAAATATTACGCACGCTGAGGGTACGACGACTATAGTAATAGAACGAAGGGAAAAAAATTCAAACTGTTTCCATCATAGTTAAAAGAACATAAAAAGAAGAAAAGTACAAATCAGCCCCATATATAACATTTTAAACTGAATCAAAAAAAACAATTGAATCAAATATATGCGTATCTTTTTCATCCTTCTTAAAGAGAAAAAATGATATGTAAGAATCGCACATTTTTTCCTCAGAAGTATAGAGGAATGGCTACTTTAGATTTGATATGAGCCGGAGCACTTTTTATTGTTCAGAAAAAAAATTTAAATTTCATCAAGTTATAGTGGTCTTTGAAAGTTATTGATGATGAGAATGTATATGTTTTTTGAAGAATGTAAGTCGTTCTAACATGTGACTATTCATCAAGAGAGTTAATAAGAATGTAGAAACAAAAACCGTCAATTTTATTTATTTTCTTTTAATTTAAGATTGAACAATGTGGACAATAGAACAGCTAAATGTTTAGTAAACTCGTCCATTTTGTACCAGTTTATTTTATTTTATCGTGCTCGTTACTCACATCTCATAGATGAAAAATAAGTCTAAAATCAAAGAAGAACAACAATTTGATAATCTGAGCTATTTTTCAAATGAACATAATAAAAATGATAAAGCGAATGAACGACAAGAAATATATTTCATTGACAACAACGATACACATGAACAATCTTTAACTAAACAGAACGATAAAAATGTATTACCATCACCGTCGTTTTTGGTACGAACAGTTAATAATAGAGAAATTGACCATTCGTATCAGAATATGGACATCTATAATCGAAATAATAATGAATTTATTTTACAACCAATATCGTTAAATAATAACATTCATTTGAAATCATATCCATTTGATCGATCAAAAAATTCAAAACAAAATATTTATGCATATAATAATCCGGCATTCAGGTTAGTTCTCACTAAGAAATACCAACATACGAATCATCCTCAAATATTCGTTTACAAGTCCATTTTGCAATAATTTATTATTATAGTACTAGTGATGTTTATGATGCATCACAATCGAAGCATGCCAAATTACAAGGATTTACAACAAATGGATTATCAAAGCAGCAACAACAAGATGATGAAAATAGTCATGGAAAAGGTTGGTCAAAATGAATTTTAGCGTTATTACGCTTATTACTGGTCTTTACACTGTCTCTAGAGTCAGTTGTATTATTGTCCGTTCCGAAAAAGAATGGACTCCACCATATGTCGAATAACTTTTTGATAGAAAAGACTACATAGCCACAACTTTCGCCATTCATCCGAGGAAACTTGATGACATCTTTTTATAAGCAAAAGGATTTTTATGAGACTTTTGCAAAATAGGTTTTTTCAGATGATCTTTGAAAAGCCAGATCGTGGCGCAGAACCTTTCAATAGCGATATTTTAGTTTCTTTTCATGTGATAGGTAGCTCTCTTCAAAATGGTAGTTAAGCGAGCTTTTGAAATTCAATGGTTTAAGTATGGTATCGGCGCCAGACTGAAATTTTTTTTTGTGTAATAATGTTAGTAGAAACAAATAAAAACCCTAGTTATCGCCCATGCTGAGTCTCGTGGCAACATTTATTTTAAGATTAGAGGGAAATTTTTTCTTACACAAATTGTCATAGCCAACTACCTTCTAAATCTCTCTACAAGCACTGTTTAAGACTTAAACAGTTTAAGTATAAAAATAGTTTATTTTGTTCCTAATAAGTTAATAAATAAATAAATACTATCTTTCGCTATTAAAACAACCTCTTTCTATCATTTGGAGGGAACAAATGACAACGGCAGATATAATGTAGCAAAAACTCTGTGATGAACTAAAATTGTGCGTCTTTTTAAAAACTAGTATATATACGAGCATTAGTCAGTCATTTTTGTTGATATCTCGAAAAGAACACATTAGTAGTCATTTTTTGTGTTTCTTTTCAGTGCCATGCTCAAATAGAAAGAATTTTCGAAAAAGGTCAAGGAAGGAATGATGCAGATAATAATATTCATCAGCAAAGAAAAAAATAGACTATCAATACCTTTGAATCATGTCTATGAGTGGCTGTAGAGAATGCTGAATATATTTCGTGATGAGTTGTGTAAGAAAAAATTTCCCTACAGTCTTAGAATAAATGTTGCCACACTCAGCATGGGCGATAACTGAGATTTTTATCCGGTTCTACTAATGTTACTACACAAAAAAAATTCCAGTCTGGTCCCGATACCATACTTAACCTTTACACTCATCGGTCTCCTCCAAGGGACATTGATGTGATAGGTTTATAAAAAGAATGGATCATCAACTAAAAAGATAATTTTTTTTTCTAATTTAAGACGATCAATAACTTAACGTTTGATTGAAATAAAAAGAAAAATTTTGCATTTCAGTGCAGTGGGCATTTCAGCTGAAGCTATAATAAAAGTGTCTTAGAGTGTAAAGGGTTAAACCATTGAATTTCAAGAGCTCGCTTGACCACCATTTTGAAGAGAGCTACCTATCACATGAAAAGAAACTAAAATATCGCTATTGAAAGGTTTTGTGCCACGATCTGGTTTTTCAAAGATCATCTGAAAAAACCTATTTTCGCAAAAGTCTCATAAAAATCCTTTTGCTTATAAAAGGATGTCCTAAATTTCCTTTGATGAATGGCGAAAGTCGTGGCTATATAGTCTTTTCTATCAAAAAGTTATTCGAAATATGGTGGAACCCATTCTTTTTCAAAACGAACAATAGTTGATTATTATTTTTCTTATGAACATTCAGCGATATTCATCGATGTCATAAATAGTTTTCAGGATTGTCAAAAAATATTGGTATATTTGGTTATGTGTTCTATTACTAATTCTTCTTGCCATTGGTCTCGGTATTGGACTTGCCATTTATCATTTAAAAAGTTTGTTTAATTATAACTTTTAAACATACATTTAGCTTGTTTTTATGTTTATTTAGATAAATGCAATATTCAATGTCCATCAGGGCAAACATTATTTCATAATCATACTAATTGTGAATGTCATTGTAAGTTAAATGTAGATATTAAACTTGATTACTCTCATGTATCTGCATATCTATCTCTAGTTATTGACCAATGTCAGATTACACCACCAGTTTGTGGTTCATTTACATGTATTAATTTAACCGAAACAGAATACGAATGTTTATGTCATACTGGCTATCATCATCCTTTGAACGATTTAAAACATTGTAAAGGTATGTAATAGTTAGTAGTTTGCCACTCTATTGTCTTACATAATATTTTTCACTACAGATATTGATGAATGTCTCGTATCAAATACGTGTGGATTAAATCAAATATGTGCAAATACGATGGGTAGTTTTCAGGTAAATTAGCAATTTTTTATTACATAAACATTAGTCAAAAGTTTTATAAATTTTTATTGTTGTTGTTTTGTTTTATGTAGTGTACCTGTTTGACTGGCTACGAATTAGATGTACATAACCAATCAAACTGTCAAGGTATTTATTTTAAGCAACAATGTTTAATGAATATGCGTTAACTGAAAACAATTATATTTTTTAAGATATTAATGAGTGTCATATTCATACTTGTATCAATGGTCAATGTATGAATACTAATGGAAGTTTTACATGTATATGTAACGATGGATTTACTCGAGATCCATTTAATGTTTTATATTGTAAAGGTAAAATTTGACTACACTTATTTGACTAATGGTTCATGTTGAATGCTTTTGTAGATATTGACGAATGTTTGACACATAATTGCAGTGAAAATGAAATATGTGTCAATCTACCCGGATCATATAGATGTGATTGTCAGTTGGGTTACAATAATGTAACTGGTATTTGTACAAGTATGTATTATTTTTTTCTTTAAAAAAAGTCCTTTCGCATTGATGTATTGATTCGAGTGTGCTATTTCAGATATTAACGAATGTACATTGTCAAACGATACGTGTGATATAAATTCATGGTGTCTAGATAAAAATGGAACGTATGAATGTTGTGTAAAAAATATAACAAACGAATGCATAGGTAAATATCAAAAGACGATAAATGTGTGCACTGTTTATATTTTTCGCTTTTTTCTTTCTCAGAGTGTGGTTTTGATTACACGAATCCATCTTTATATACCACCATCTTACCATCAACAACCGGTATGTACGTCGCAAATACAATGACACAAAGTAGAGCTTCAAATCTACATACTAATAATGACAATATTTTTAAAAAAAAGAAACTATTCGATTTACCAACAGATCAAATGAATAATTTAAGCAAAATAAATTTTCAGCAAACAACAGCAGCTTCATTATTACTATCATCAGCTAATGCTTTTGCTTTGTTTTCATCAACTACTTTGAAAAAACTAAATCGTATATCAACAAAGAAAAAAATAATATCAAAGAAAACTATCAAAAAATTTGGTAAGACAATTATAAAATTATAATTAATCATCATTATCAAAAAGTTGTTTTTTTTAAGAAGTCATTTATTTCTATATTCATATCATGTTCATAACTGATGTATTTTCTATCTATATCTAGATGATAGTCAACGATCCAATACACGACGAAAACGTATAGTGAATGGATCACCAGCAAAACTCGAACAATGGCCTTGGGCTGCATCCCTTGTTATTAAACCTAACTATAAACATAATGGAACAAGAAATGTTTGTTCTGGTACTCTAGTTTCAAGTTGGAATATTCTGACAGCTGCTCACTGCTTAGATGAACACCTTTTCAAAGAGTATGTCTTGTTTTTTTCCAGTGAATATTCAGTATGATTAATTAACTTCTATTTTGTTTAATAGACGATGGAAATTGGATGCAGAACCACCACCATTATTTAAAGATTTATTTGATATACATCTAGGAATGTATAATATAAGTATTGATAACAATGAATGGTCATCACATAATGAAATTTTTACAATTTCGAATTTTACTCTGGTTAGTTTAATAATTTTAATTGTGTCGTTTTATTGATTCAAAATTCAATTTGTTTTATTTAGCATCCTGAATATCAATCATTATCTGAAGATGGAGCAACTGTCAAATATGATCTAGCCATAATTAAATTAAATAAACGTATAGATCGTAGTTCAATAAAAGATTGGATTTGTTTACCAGTAAATGATGTTACTGATCAAGACATATTAAAAGTGATAGGATATGGAGAATGTACGTAGTTCTACCGATAAACAAATAAATTTCTGATTGTCTATATTTAATATTCTAGTGAATGAAAAAATAATGTTAAATATGATAGATGTTAAAGTACTTGTTAATCAACACGATCGTGAACAGTGTGAAACTCAAATATTAGATTTAAGTGCCGATTCATTTTGTACAAATAGTACCAGTAGTGGAACACTTGGAGTGGTAAGAACTTTGTGAGATATTTATATCTTAAAAACGTCGAAAAACATTGAAAGAATGCTGAGAAAATTGTTGTATATTATCTCTTCAGCAGTTTCTAAAAGTTTATGCCTGTTGACTAAAATGAAAAAAATCCAAAAAGAGATGAACAATGTATATCTTTTGTCCTTTTTGTTTGTGTTAAGGGTGATTCGGGTGCACCAAGTATGACCATGAAACATTCTCGATGGCATATTGCTGGTATAATGTCAAAAACTGGTACAACTAAATCATATGCTGGAATGACTAATGTCTATAAACATTTGGATTGGATACGTTCAATTATGAGAAAATAATTAGAATGAAAACTGTGATATCATATATCATTCCAATGTGCTCAAATAGACTGTTGTATATTTCTATTTTCGTCCATGTGATAAGTATTATCGTTTTAAAAACTAAATATGTGCTACGATTGTCCGCCCACTTATTTTTCTAGTTTCAATCTTGTTTTTCTTTTGTTTACATGTAGATAACATTATTTTCTATTTTTGTTGAACGTTATATATTTTTATAAATAAGACTATTCAAAAAGAGGATAAATTTAAAGATATTTCGTTGCTTAAGAGCGGTTGATTAGCATAAATCTAATATATTTTCGAACAAACGAGATGTGTTCATCAATAATAATATTTTCGTTGCTCAAGTTATTTTTTGTTTATCGATGATATGAAAAGATAGCAACTGACTTTTCTGCTAAATATGAGAAAATAAATCTATTTTTACGTACAAATAAATTTTTTTCCAGCTAATTTGATAATCAAACATTGACAAAATGTTTTAAAAATAATACAAAAGAAATCTCTAATGAGAAGTTGATTAAATTTGCTCATGCTCAGTGTGAAACTTAGATGCTCAAAAAATCAATAGTACTGTAAGAAATAGTGAAACTTTTGTTTTAAGTTTAGCCAATATTTAGGCTCGATAATTTTAGAATATGTTCATTGCATCGAGAAATTAGATCAGAAAGATATACATCAGATAACACGTTGCATTTCTTCTCAAATTACTTCAAGCACAATGCTGACTACCCACAAAAGAAATGATTTTGTTATGAATCAAAAAAGCATAGCAGAAGATGTCTCTTACTTTCTCTTTTACTAGAAAAAATTAATACTATTAAACGATCGAGTGGGGAGGGATCATTCCCAGCCCTCCATCCACAACAACAAAAGAAATGTTCCAGAACAACAAAAAAGAAATTAATAAGAAAGACAAACCATTAAGAAATAAGCGATAAATTCTTTTCATTAGTCTTTGTTAATGATAGTTGTTTCTTTATCTCCATTCGATTGTTTAATATATACATAACTTCATCCAGACCTAATTGATGAATATGTAAACCTTTTGTTGTAGCAATAATTATTTCATCTAAACCATCATTTGTAAAGTCAACACACACCAATGAATAGGCTGATGCTGCCAACGTTAATGTTCGATATAACGGTGATTCCTCACTGATTAAACTAAGTCCTTTTGGTGATTGTTGTTCTACAACCGATGGAAGACGACAAATAAAACAAGTCTAAAATAAATAATTTTGAAGAATTTTAAGATATCATTTATTACGATATTTAAGCTAAAGAAAGTAATAGACGTAGTTTATCTCGAAATACCTACGTCTCCATATGTTCCCAATAATATTTCATTTTTTCCATCTAAATCAATATCAACAATACAACTTGATGTAACACAATCACGTGTATCTGTTGTAGCTAAAACGACTGGATCCAAGAAATGTGTCGATAACACATCACTAAAGATAGATCAAGACAATAGAAAGATCTAGAGAATAAATAAATTAAATTAAAATAAAATAAGAATTATTCTTACCGGTAAACAACGGCTTGTTCGAGAGCACTTGTCACAAGTAAATTTGGCTCTTCACCTAAAAGAGAGTCTATTTTTACATACAACTAACTTTAAGACTTTGAATTATTTCTACCTTCAATTGGTTTATAATTATGATAGAAGAATCTTACAGAACTAATAAAACTATCATGTTCATTAGATCTATGAATTATTTCTAAAATAAAAGCAAATATTAGATTAAATTATTATGAAAAATAATTTTAATCACCTCCTGTTTGAAAATCATTAATTGTTAAATTTAAAAATCCATTCGAATGTCCACATATAATTAAACGTTGTTTCATTTTTTGTGTTTCATCACTGATCAATAATATATCCATCGATGACACACTACAATAAAAAAAAACAAAAAACAAAAAAAGAAATCATATGAAGAATAATACTCAATATTTCAAAATATTTACTTGCCAGCCAAATTTTTCAATTCTGGTAAATAGATTTCAATTGATTTTGTTGCATCAATCAAACGTTCTGATCTCTTGAAAGATGATAAAGTAGGTAAAATTCTGTAAGATTTATAAAAACTGTAAACATCTTACATCTGCGAAACATGCCAACCGTTCACCACCACCTATAAGTAAAATTGTTTCCATTTCGTTTGTTGATAAATTTTTTGTTCTAGAAAAAGAAAAGTTAGACGTAAATCTATTCTAATAAATTTTTTTCAATAAAATAACTTACGTAATTGTCTTCATGAATTTAGGAGGAAATTGTAATACACAAGGATGTGATATAACTTCTAAATAAGACGAGATGTATGCATTATAAATGTTTTTTTAACAACTCACTCGATAAAATTACTCACTCTGTCCTTGATCTATAGTGGACATTTGATAACGATCCAAATGAAAACTTGAACTATCATCGCTATTCTAGAAAAAATTAGAAATGTTTATTATTAAATTTTTTAAATCAATATTAAAAGAATTTTACCGTTCCTTTTACATAACCAAAAATAATCGATGGTGGACTGTTAAATTTAGGTAAAATTTCAATGCTTAAAATTCGACAACTATCTTTGAAAAAAATTTTTTATTTAATTGAAAAAAGAGAATAAAATATTTTCTTTATGATTTACTTTGAATTTGAGAAAAATTGATTGGTATTGTTTTACATTCACAATTTGTTTGTGAATACTCGATGGATGCTCCACGTCCATCTAGACCAATAATGAATAATTGACATGCACCAGTTTTGGGATTACGATAATACTTTAATGTATTGACATTTGGCTGATATGACAAAGGTTGGAAAAATATTTCTTTTAGAGTAAATGTCATCTAAAACAAATTTATTTGACAAGACAGCGCTCAGAGTTTTGTCAATTCAACACCGGAGTTAGCTGAGCTCTTTTTTTGTGGAGTTGAAGTTTGCTTTTTAAACGACCGAAGTTGAGTTGACGACTGATTTTGTCAATTCCAACTCCGAAACTTCAGTTAAAAATTTCTTTAACTCCGACTACATTAGTTCGTGTGAAGCATGTTTTTCACAATCAGGTTTTGGATTTCGATCACATCGTAGTAGTAGTAGTACGATAAAGAATATGCTTTCAAAATTAACATTGTTAAAATGTAATTTTAATTTATTATAATGATGTTTTTTGTGCATAGTATTATAAGGAAAGAAAACATGACCGTTATACGGACAAAGTTAAAAACAGGAAGGAAAAAGAACGAATAGATTTTAATTCGGAGTTGGAACGAAGTTTAAGTTAAGTCCCTTGGAGTTGGAGTTTAGATTTCTTAACGGAGTTGAAGTTGTACCTAGCCGGAGTTGTCCAGTTCTGACAGCGCTTTTTTAAAGTTCAGCATTTTCTTAATTCCATTAGCTAGATAAATTAACAACGAAAAAATTATTTGCAGAAATAACGTCCAAAAATGTCAGATAAGTATTTTTACAACTTTTCTGTCTATTTGTTTTATCGGGACAGTGCATAATAACTATCTAGTTACATACCTTTTAACTGCTTCTTGTTGGGCAGTATTAACGTAACATCTTATCAATTAAATTTGGCTGAAACACAATAAATAAATAAAATTTAAGAAACGATTGTGGATTAGCCTTTCAATTTCCCAACAAAAGGCATCATTGAAAACTCTACGTGTAAAATTCTTAAAGAAAGTCTTTACCACAGCGTTGATTGGTGGGTGAACGAACCTACTACTGATGATTGATGATTCATCACTGATTTTTAATAATAACATCATAAAATCCTTTTATTTATTGATTTCGACGCCCGCAACTTCTCTGTCCGAGTAAGAGGCTTCATCTCGTTGATATGAGGAGACTGATGATTCTAGTATTGAAAACATACTCTTCTTACTGGCTGGTCTTTGATTTAAGTGAGCGGTTACTTCCATTCAGTTATCCTAAGCGTGCAATTCAGACGTAGGAATAACAATCAACGTGGAAAATTAAAAAGTCACTAACGTTTAACTTTTCACACTCAAGCGCAACTCGACCAATTTCACTGACTTTCAAACATTGAAAAATTTTAACGCTTAATTTTTTATATTTAGTATGGAATCTTTTATGATGTATCATAATGACTGAGCTGCTGTGAACTTTTTACCCTTACGTACCTAAGATTTTCTTATACTCACTCCACCAAAAACATCGGAAAATGCCCTATACAGTAGGACAATTTTCAAAAAAATTTCGCCAAAATGTTCTTCTGATAGAGGATGAATTTCAAGTATGTGTGGGGGTTACCGTTGGACTACTAGCAGGCGACAAAATTTGACCGCAATTGAAGATCACCCTTTACAATCTACAAAATAGAAGACTAGGTGGTCTTTTATTATGGGGAGGAGGTTACTTCAGTTTACATTCAAGAAAAAACTACAACAAATTGTTTCGTTGTAGATATTAGAAACCTACATTACATCTTAAAATGTCATCCATTGGCTCTGGGGTAAGCAAAAACTTTGTCAGGTGGACATCTATGTTACTCATACTTTTCTTTTCTGTTTAGTATGATTTGAGTGCCTCACAATTTTCACCGGATGGTCGCGTGTTTCAGGTTGAATATGCAAATAAAGCCGTGGAAGCTAGTGGGTAAAGATATTGATTAGTTATATGTTGCATTGTAACCTATAGTTGATGTTTTCTTTTCTTTTCTAGAACTGTGGTTGGTCTCCGTTGTAAAGATGGTGTTGCATTCGCCGTAGAAAAAATAATTACATCACGATTATATGAAAAAGGTTCCAGCAAGCGTATTCACAATGTTGATAAACATATCGGCATGGTATATTTTTCTACAGACATTTATCTTAACGTTTTAAAATGTTGTTTTTTTCCAGGCAGTTGCCGGTCTTTTAGCTGATGCAAAACAAATATTGACAGTAGCACGTGACGAAGCGAAGCAGTATAAATATGATTATGGTGTATCGATTCCTGTTAAAGTATGTGGATGTTAATTAATGACATAATAGATTTTGTTTTAAAATAGAATCGTCTTTTGTAGTATTTAGCTGATCGTCTTTCAATGTACATGCATGCCTATACTTTGTATGGATTTGTTCGACCATTTGGCTGTCAAGTGTTTTTGGCATCATACGAACACGATGGACCGCAATTGTATGTTGTTGAACCATCCGGTGTTAATAATGTATGTAAAAAAATTATTTGCTAGTTTGTATTAGAGACTTTTCCTAGTATTCATTGATCAAGTTACTGCATCATGTAAGAATTTAGTGCGTAATACATCTTCTCTATTATTTAGGGTTATTTTGGATGTGCTGTTGGCAAAGCTCAACAAACAGCTAAAACAGAAATTGAAAAACTAAAGGTAATGGTTTTTTTTCTGACGATGACAATCATTGTTGTTCTAAATGTTTTGTATCACTATTCATCTTATAGTTAAACGATATGAAACTGGAAGATGGTATTAAAGAAGCAGCAAAAATGTAAACACATTACGCATAATAACTTGTTTCTTTTTGTAGTAGAATTATTTTCTATTTTTTTCTTTAGTATTTATCAAGTACACGATGAAGTTAAAGATCGTATGTTTGAACTTGAATTAAGTTGGGTAGGAAAAAGTAAGTTTTAAACTCTATTACTTTAATTTGTGTATTTATAAAACTTGTAAAATAGATACAGAAGGCAAACATGAAAAAGTACCGACTAGCGTTTATGAAGATGCCGAGAAATATGCAAAGGTCAGTGTTTTAATATCTAATAAATATAATTTTACATTTAACCTTTGTTTTACTTATAGGCATCATTAGAAGAAGCCAGTGATGATGATGAAGAAATGTGATGAACATTTAGGACTATTGCATATAAGCTGCGTGTTATGTGCGTACACGTTTTTTGTTTTTCTTGTTTTTTTCTTATTGTTGTTTTATTATAAAATAAATCAGACAAAATATATACCTTTTTCTTATATAAGTATTGTTTCATTGAAGTATCTAAGAAATCAGAGGAGTATGTTTTGAGGTCGGATAACACTGTGCTATGTATGATAGAAAAGCAAAGTTTGCTGTAAAAATACTTATTTAACATTTTTGGAGACTATTTCTGCAAATGTTTTTTCGGAGTTAATTCAACTGGTTAATGAAATTAAGAAAATACTGAACTTAAAAAAACAACGGGATTCTTGAGTTTTACAAGAGTTGCAATCATTTAATGTGCTATCCTGACACGACCGATATTATATGACGGACAATTAGTGTTAGAAATCAGATTAAAAAGATTACAATAGAAAAAATTCTTCTGTCAGGAAAATAACTAACCCCTTTCAGTTTGAACACAAAAATCGGAAATTCGAGACAACAGTCTTGTCTATTATCTTGCACTCCCGCATCTCCATAAAAGTTGAATAACTAGTAGTAAAACATGAAACGTAATCTTGATGAAGAACTCGAAAAACGACTGTTTCGGCTCAGATACATCTTTGTTTCATTTAATATGAATCTTACGTCTAGGAAAAAATTGTTTATACTGCGGGATCTATTTGCTCTCTAGAAAAACTGACAGAAATGAACAAATATCGTTCTCTACCTACTCACTGAAATACTCACTTGTGATACAATAACATAAATCGACTTATGATCAAGATTACAGCAATTTCAATTCAATTCAGTTTCTATTTGATCAAAGATCATGAACATAAACAATAGTCGAAATGTTTTTAACAAAGCTGGTTCAAGATGACAAGTGCCTTGTGATAGCAGAAAGACAAGATTTTCGCTGTCGATATCAAAAATCAATTTTTTTTGTAATGATCCTCGCTGCTAAACACTGAACAGAGTAAAGAGGCGCAGAGTGAGTTGAAAAATTAAAAACAAATACTGCGCAAGTATAATCCATTTTCGACAAAACACAAGATGTATAAAGCAAGAGACGAATTGAAGATGGTGAACTTGAAAATGTGCAATTTATCGCACCTAGTATTCGTCTGGAGCTGTTTCTTCAATATGATTCATCCATTTTATATCACTAGAAAATTTTAATCAACCAGATGGTCTGAAGCCAAATTGTTGTTTACATAGAAGATCGTTCGAGAGAACATTTTATGAAGAATCTTTTCAAAGATCTTGCGTATAAAATTTAGGCATATAACTGTCGTTTTTACGAAATTTATTTAAAGAAGCCCAAAAACTAGATAGATTAGAAAAAGTTGAAGAAATTTTGCTGAATAATTTTTTATTTATCGTACTTCATAGATGAAATAACTCTGTTGCGCAACAGTTTATATGACTGAAAATGCTCAGGTGAAGAAGTAGAGCGGAATTTTCGAAACGCACGTTGTCATTTAGAGATAAGTTTTCTACTGATATGAGATATGAGAAACATCAGAGTTGTATGGCTCACACGATACTCGTTTTATTGGAATGTAAGATGATATACAGTTATTTATATAAATCTCCCATATTTCGACCGCGTTCGACGGGTCATTCGTATCTAAGAACGCCTCTAGAATTTGTTCGAGAGCAAGATATAAGATTTCAATGCTACATGGGGAAAAGTCTCTCACACATTTATGCTTCGCAGATTTTCTACACTCAACGTTTACGTCATGCCAGTATAGTACTGTTACCTATCAGTGCTGTACTTTAATTAATGCAAAATTAAGAAAATGCAACTATAATAAATTCGATGGATCAACAATTAGATTGTTGTAGCAGCACATATTGTTAGCGGAAACCGTTACAGTTCTGTAAAATATCGTATTTGATTAGTACAAAGCAGATAACGATAGAAAAAGTGGAAAACTTCAGACCACCTACTCCTATACTTGTCTGTATTTACATCTTTTCAACAGCGACATTAGCTTTTCGTAAGAAGTGGACATCTAGTTGTTTGTGTGTGTGTATGATAGTAGAGCTGTAAATGAAATGATTACTGAATTGATGACAGTCATAATTTATTCAAATGGCGGTGCATAAAAAAATTCAAACTATTAAGAAACATTTTTAATATTTTTCATGTAATGAAGCCAAACTGAAAAATCATATTTCTTGCATCCTTATTTCAGGATTACTATCTCATAATACTTCACCAGCAGAACATTTTCTATGAGAAGGCAAAATAATAATTTCAATAATTTTGCTTATACAAGCTAAAAAAATGACACTGGTTTGTAGAAAAAATTATTCATGTTTTTTCGTCTTTAATGCAAAATTGAAGAGCTCCTTTCCTTGAACCGTGCAGAACTGAATGATCTATGATTTTTTTAGCTTAACTTTATCTGATATTGTTTATTTATAGATAAAAAAAATGTCTCCACTAGCTTTAATTAATTTTTTAACAAGAATCGGTTTTTCGGATGATAACGGTACACAATTGGTGCATCATTTAGGTGGAATAGATCATTTAATGACATGTTCAAATCGTCAATTAGCCGCGAGTAATGTTTCACTTTATTTACGTATACGTTTAATTCGTGCTATAAAATGTTTTCATATGGAAAAATGGTCAAAACATATTATGTTAAATTTTAAAGATACTTCATCATTTTATAACATATTTGAAAAATTGATTTATCAGTTGCTTAAAGTTCACTGTATTATAATCTATTATAAATGGACGCTTGGCTATATTCAAGCTCATATGATGATGCGTTCAAACAACATGGTGGATGATGACATTGAAATTGTTTATCAAAACTTAGTGAATACACGAGACGCCATTCAAACTCTTCACTCTATCATAACATTGACAAAAAAGCATCTTTCTTAAAGGTGGTATTTACAATTAGATAATGTGAATAGCTTTTGTGTTGATAACCGGTGTTTTTTGTTTTGTTTTATTCTTTCTTCTACATATTTCTTTTATATATCAGTGTAGATTTATGGTTATGTAAAAATTCGTGAGCGTGTTCTATGTAGAATTGAAATTTATACTGGTACAAATCAAGTTACTTATTAACATAACTAAAAGCACAAAAAATTATATTTAGTTCAATGCTATAACAGCGCCTTTTCGAAATAACCAGTTCATTTATTTCTGAGATGCATCATTTTTGAGCCACTATAATTTTCCTTTCATTTTAATTTCTTGAAATTTGAGCAGGTTTTTAATAACGTTAATCAGTAACGTTTCATTTCAAGAGCACAGCAAGTGACTATGATCTTCTTTAGAGACTATAAGTTTGTTCTCAGCACGCTTTTAGATATTCGATGGTGTGAAGGAATAGTAAGCCATTTTTACTATATCAATCGCATGTATTGTCAAGCACTTTTCAATAAGAATAAATCCTAAGGTTATCCCAATGAATGGGTTCTTAAACATACTATTATTGTTTTCAAAATGTCTATTTTATGAATAACTCAATAACGAAAGGTGATAGAAACTTACGGTTTTTTTACTATCAAGGCTATCAAATCTTTTTTCTCCAAAACAAAGTCTTTCCAAACATTAAAAAACAGATGAATATATATATATACGAAAGACAGAATGTGTGAACATGATGAGCTGACAGACAGAAGAATAAGCAGAAATGAATGCGATGAGTGAAGGAATGTTATGAGTCAGGTATGACTTATGTCAGCACGTGACTGACATAACATGTTTCCTAGAGGATTTCTGGAAAACCGTTTCATAACTAGAAAAGTTAAGGTAGCAACATATTGGGTTTTTTCATGAATAAATAGCCCAAAGTATCTTCTTCAAAATGGAAGTCAAGCGAGGCTTTGGTTTTCAGTAATCCGTTTCAACTGAACTGTGAATACTTAGATATTCATAGATTATGTAAAGCTGAGATATTCCAAGTCACCATTTCGAAAGTGCTATCCTCTGTACCTATCAGAGATAATCAACATTCATGACAAATTGCGTCTTAGAATAATAGTTTTTTTGAATGCACTCAAAATGTCATGTGGTGTATGCTCAAATGAAAAAGTATTTTGCTGCATTTGAAAATAGATATTGCCACTAAACCGAGCTCTTTTCATAAACGTCGGACCCACCAACAACATATCCTGATAGATTTTTAAACATGTCCTCATCAATCTTCACACAGAAAAACATCTCATTTAGTTCATCTTATAGATGGTTTTTATACTATATGTAAAAGTTTATAGCTATTATGAATGACTTTGTGGTAGACTATTACACAGTCAATACTAGAACTATCGTAAACATAAGGAGCTTGTTTCAAGAAGAAATTGTTTGAACTCGAAGAAAAATCAAATATTTTTATAAGTTAAAGACATTGGGCTTATGTTTATTGTTCATTTTCAGATACCTACATAGAATAAGAATGAACTCTCAAAACTTTTAAGCAAAAAGACAGCATATGAATGGAAAAAATCACCCAAGATATCTACTTCAGTTATTAGTGTAGTGATTCTAGTTTATCGTACGCAGATAAATTCTCATCGAAAAATACATTTAACAACAAAAAAGTTTGTTAAATAGTTTGAAGTGTTTTATGCAAATGGTTCTAATTCGCCACGTGTTTCTTCTATTGTTTCAATATATTGTATTTCATCAACATTATACGGGAGAATAGCGACGATAAGCGCTGTCAATATGAATAGCGTTGCACCACAAAACAATCCATATGCCCATTGTAAACGAAATGCATATTCATTATATGCTAATGGTACAATGATTAATATGAGTGCATCGACGAGACAACCAATGAAAATCAGAATAATTGTACATAACCACAGTGGTCGTCTAGAACGTTGTGAATTACGTATAATCGATAATGTACCAATAATAATAGATAAAATTATTATAAAAAATGATATTAATAATAAAATAGCTGTAACTAACATCCATTTTGAATAACGCTTAGGTGCTATTGATTTATCGAATAAATGACATTGATAAATAATTTTTGGAATAGGTAATAAAGATAAATCTAGTGATTTTTCACAACGAAACAATGGTCCAAAGTGACCATGTTTTGTTTCTACCCAAAACGATGTAAATAGAGCAATAATTAAAAAGAAACAATGTAATATAGCTAAAAATATACTCGATACTTTGAGTGGTGGTACAACGTAAATACGCTCAAATTTTGCACGCGGTGCATACATAATAATGATACCGAAAGAAAATTTGAAAGACTAATAAAACAAATACTTTTTATATATTATAACGTTTTATTAGCATACAAATACTGTTAACCTTATTAACATACTGTTTTACTCTCGATAACAGGCTTTTTTTGGCGTTTATTAACAAAAAAAAGAAAACTGTCGGACTGATCATCCACAACCATCTACAAACAGTTTTTCTTCTTCTTCTTGTCTATACAGACAAAACTTGATGTTTATGTTCGAGCAGGAAAATATCATTGTTCGATAATTCCTCTTGTATATTTGACTCAATTCATCCCTGCTTTTATTCTATCATCATTGATATGGCATTGTAGTTCTCTTCTATTTTTCTTTTTATCGTATTATGAGAATATCGATGACATATGAGACATAGAGTATAATATTCTTATTTTTACAATTCATTTGTGCCACAAGAACAGAAGAGAGACAAGGTGTTTGTTGTTTCATTTTAACTCAAAACAAATATATTATATCATGACAATAAGATGATGGGTCTTTATTTTTATCATTGTATCCCTATTTGTTGAATTCTCATAGACATGAACATCATTGCATAGTTAGAATCAATTAGTCTATGATGAAATACTAGAAGAACCGCAATTAAGCTAAAGTCTACTAAAGGATTCATCAAATTTAGACCGACCTTGATGTTAAATAAAAGCAAAAAGTGAACCAAGACTTGGTGTCTAATATTAAAAATACTGATAAAATTTGCTCGCTTGTTTCTCTATGAGCAAAGTTCTCTAACCATTCGTGAGGATCTTAAGCAAAAACATCCTGTAGCGATTCAGCAGTACTACATTTTTTGTTTCATTTACGGCGGTATAGTTCGTCAAGTAGTCGTGCAAATTTTTTTTCTTCAGAAATTCAAAATTTGTACTGAGTTTCTCTGCTTTTTAAAACGTCTAGGATTCGAAGTTCGAAAAACTGTTAGTGTGTCATGCGTTATAATTGTTATAATAGCCATGCGTAAGCAACAACAATGATACTAATTTTTGTCCAAATCATTATTACTGGCATCAACAAACATCTGCTTTGTGAAACTTCTCCTAAGATTACGAAGCTGAGAAGTTGAAGTAATATACGTACAACCTTGATGATTTTGCTTAGTTTTTACTCCTCCCATTCCATGGAGGAAAAGGCGGCTCCGGAAGCTTTCCGGAGCTTGAGATGCTGAGTATCTGATGCTGATGCGATGCTCTCCAATGCTAAGAAAGAAAAAGTTTCTTTGCCCCCTTGTCGTTCCATTCCCTCCCCTCTCTAGTAATGATCTTAAACTGCTATGGTAATGATCGTAATAACCCATAGTATTGATCTTACGTGACTGGAACACTGATCTTACCGGCTCATAATAATGATCGTAAGGGCTCTCAGTGTAATATTCTTACAGAGTTACCGTAATGATCTTACGGGATTGCATTAATGATATTCCTTTTTTCTTTTTATTTCGGAAACCTAAAAATGAATGAACTTTATATTTGTTATACAATATTTTTAAAATCTTCTTGTATATTAATGACATCTGTGTTTTTTTAAAGATGAATATTCCAGTGTTATTGAAATAAATGCTTGATTAAAACGATTAATATCGAATTTTTTGGAATCAGTAGATCAAATTTTCTTGTTAAATATTTTCGAGTCGGCCTTTTTTTCAAGTATCCCTTTAGCATAAAACAGGAGGAGTTTAGGGACTGCTCTGACAAGATTTTTTAATAAATTTCCATTCTATTTTAAGATCAATAACACAGTAAACAACATGAGACATTTTATAAAAAAAACACTTTTTTTCGAAAACGAGACCTGGTGCATCTTATATATTTCTCAAACTAATGCTGATAAAAATTATTACTGTTTTCTTATATAACTATAATACCACTAAGAGAACGGTACGCTATGAGATCTTATCTACTCCTTTAAGAGAATATTTTCTTTTATTTACCGATTAATAAAACAATATTATCTCTTCACTTTAAACTTTCTTTACCTTTCATATTTCAATAAAACAAACCATAATAAGCAAGTGTAAGAAAATGTCGACTATTTCTCATATTAGACACTTTTTCTTGTTGTTGATTGCAATTAAAACCATTTATTGTCAAACTGATCCGACTATTTGTCCCGAAGGATCAATTACAAAACCAGACGATCCGCGATGGCATCAGATACATGGTCGATTCGAAATATCCGGTGAATATGTTCTTAATGATGGAGCTTTTGAAGTTTCACAAGCATTTACTCTTGGCCGCGATGCGATATTTGTCACTATTAATGGTGTTCCATTTCAACATTACTATAATTTTGAAACAAAGGAATATTTCACACTTTCAACATTAATTCTTGATCAAGCACCAGTACCTCTGTGTGCTAGATCCATAATTACGGATCAGTTTGCTACTAGTAATATATCCGCCGGTGTTGTTAAACCATCTATCCTGTTAGGATTTGACACGCACAATAAACCAAATGAATTATGGGCAACACGTCTCCTAGGTGAAGGAGTGATACGTGGAATACCCGTTGATATTTTTACTTCCTGTTTTTATGTACCCGATATAAAAGCAACTATTTCAGCTACTTATTTTTATAGCAACGTCACAAAATTTGTTAGTAATCTTGGACGAGGTCAACCCATTTTAGTACGAATCGATGTCAAAAGTATAGTTGCTGGTTCACGACAGGATTATACGTTCAACATATTTCGTTTTACACCACATCCACGTATGAACGAAGAAATTCGTGCACTACAAACACCATCAGGCTTTTTTTGTGAAAATCGAACAAATACAAAACATTTACCAAGAGATATTCCCGAACGTTTATCGGTGAATAGTGAAGTTCAATTTCCTGCGTGGAATCACTCAATTCTAAGTGGTCATGAAATGTACGACAAACAATCAGAATTTGTTCGTTTTGATGCCTATCTTGGTCGTTTTGGACATTATACAGAGATACACGATTATATAACTGGTTTAAATTATCGTTATGAGCATCGAACACAACGGTGTACAGTAACTGATATTACAGTTGGATATGATGCCCAAGCGGCAGAGGGTAAAAGATGATCATTCGAGAAAGGAGAAGATATTTATCTATCTTTCTTTGTTTGTTAAGGCCAGCCGAATTTTGTTCGTATGAGTGATGGATTAGAATTTTTCCTAATTGAAGGTTTACTCTTTCATTATACTGGTGTTCATCGGTGTGGTGAGCGAATCAACTGCCATGTGTGGCTTGGTGAAAAAGTGTTAACTGGTGCAACAAAAGGTGTACAACGTCGTGAATGGTATTGGGCTTTTGAAGTAAACGGTTTTGAATTACCAAATATGATCCCAATGAAATTAATTTTAACAGATGTAGATGAACGTGGTAGACAAACTCAATTAACAGAAATAAGTAGGTGAAAACAAGACTGTTAGTTGCATCCAACATTAGATATATTTTTATTTTAGACATGTACAATTACAATCGTAATCCGATAGCAACATTTGAAGTTGATTATACACTCTCCGAATGTTATCGTGCATTAGGACCAAAAAAGGGCTATCATTATGGTGTTGTTAAGTTTACAATTGAAAATGATAAGAACTATCCTGTTCAAAAAAACATTCAATATTTGCAATTTACCATATGGTACACGCTAACAGTATATTTACAATTGAGACCGGTGAGAATTAGTAATATAATTATTGATCATGAAGATAAAGATCTATTGGTAACATTCACACTATTGGATGTACCACCGAAATATGGACCAGTTGAACATCCGTTACATGAACATACATTAGCAACACTGATTGAACGTTTAGAAAGAATGATTAACAATAATTTATTAGCATTTCGAGCTAAATATGGTACAAAAGAAGTTGAATTACGTGCTAGAAAAAATTCATTGGCTGCCATTTTCACAAATGAAAAAACGGTGATAAAATCAAGTGGAATGCTTATAACTGGTTTATGGATTGGATTTTTGGTATTCGGCATTCTTATTGGTGTTGGAGCAACATTTATTATTGTTAAAAAGTACACATCAAATTGATTCAGATAATTGGTTCTCGTTCAATTAACAATTTGTCTTCTATTTTTAATAAAACTTGTCAAATAGTCTATGAAAGAGCATTTAGATATTAAGTATTCCAGTAAATTCTTAATGAAAATGTGTAGTTTTCGAATGCTGTACGATCTGTAGACGATTCTTTTTTCCAAAACTTTCCTATTGAAACAAATGATTGAATAGAAGCAATTGACCTGATTAATCGACGTTTGAGTGATCGATAGTTGAGGGATCCCTTATAAAGCATATATTTGGTCGCAATTTTGAACATCTTTAAACGCATAACTCTCCTCCTTCAGGCATAGTTGAAGTTGTTCAAAATGATTTTGTATATCAGATATTTTCTCGTAACCATAATATTTTGTTAAAAGAAATTTCATCTCATAAATTTTCAATCTTTTAAAAATTGTTCTCGTTCTACTCACTCTTACTAATCTCGCACGTCTCCCAATAAGAAGCATAAAATTTATTCGATTTTATTGATCTCAAGAAACGTCACATTGAAAAGCATAAAAAAACGGTCGATGCATGAATATCTGAAAAACTAGACTGAATAAATGAATGTTTTTCACTATATTGTCTGATAGTGATATTAGTTTTTAGTTAATTCTTAAACAATGTCGTTATAACGATCGTATTCTGGTATGCTCTTAATGTTAAAGGAAAGTTGTAGTGTTGAATAATTTTAATTGACTTTTCTTTCTGGATCTTTATTGGTCTTCGTTAAAGTAATTCAAAACATATCAAGAACTGATTCGCAATATCTTAGCGTGCAAGTCAACGATATAAAGCCATTAGTGAATATGTAAATTTGACTAATATTAAAAAGAATGTATCTCAAATGATCATAAAGGTGATGATTTGTAACACTCCAAGTAGATTTATGTCTGATGACTAGATGGATATAGTACGAGTCACGTGGTTTTAGATAAGTTGATAAACAACAACATATATACTTCATTTATCTTTAATATTAAACAAGAGAAAAAGAAAAAAGAACTAAATTACATAGTCTAATACGTATACATTTACATATATGAATATTTTTTGCTTTTATATCTATATCAAGAAGACATAAGAAAACTACTCGTCGAGAAGTGTTGTATGAAGAGAGGAGAAACATTTAAAGTACTCACAGGAATCTTCATAAATTGAAAATATTATTTTTTATGCATTTTAATTGTTTCGTTATCGTTTGTTCAGAAACTTCGAATTTTTTATCAAAATATATTGAGATGCTACTACAAAGTGGAAAAGGTTGATCATAAACGCAGGTTTTCGGTGTTAGTTTAAATGAAATATGTTTTCTTTCCACAACTGATTCTTCTTACACTGACGAGGAAAGTTCACCAAGTGTCACAAGGCTTTTTCAACGACGCATACTCTGTTGTAGAGCTCGATGTGCTGATTACAGCGGTAATAAGCGCTCGTCTCTTCGAGTCTTCAATGAAAAATCATAGAACAAAGAAAACCGAGTAGAAAATCATTTTCGACACAAAGATCGACTTAAATTTGTATACAAGGATGTTTTCCAATAATTCTGCTTACATCATGGGATTCTCCATCGCCAAGTGTACTATCTCGTATCCACATTGAAAATGTATCTTCTTAACACAGTATTGGACAGAAATATTTTGGATCTCTAATGAGGAGATGATGCCCAAATAATTATATTCAAGCAGATAAAAAGTAAAAGACTATGAGAACCATATTGCTTTACCTTTCTGAAAACACCAAGTTGTATTCTAGTTAAAGAATACGTAGTCTATATCCGAAATTTTATTTCCTTACATTTAGATCTTACATTTTATTTTATTGCATAAACCCCAGATCTTTTTCATATGTAAGAGCATGCTCCGACAGGAAAATGTTTTGGTTCTCTCTTCTTCTGGCAGTAGTAAATACGATGATGATGAAATTCCAACTGTCATTAAACCCGGAGATAATGCAATTGGCCACGAAGAATCCCGTGATATAAGTTGAATCATTTGAGAACATATATTTGCCATATATTTCCTGTACTTTGGCCGAGCAAATAGAATTAAGATCTCATATTTTTAGATTTTAATTAATCCAGCTAACACTACAATCAGTTTAACGATCGCAGCACCCTCTATTGCTGTATTTGTTTATCGCCGTAGACGCGAAATGTTTGAATTAACCTAAGTCATTTGCGATCTTGTTTTTTGCAACTATATGTTCTTTTAGGAGTGAAGAAGTCGCAACGAGACAAAACTTAAAAAAAATTATTTTAATTAAATAAAAGAAGGATTTTGAAATTTCAGAAATTTAAATATATTGCGACAAAGATATAATGTTGCTGCGCTACAACCGTCATGAAACTGGGAAAAAACTTAAATCTTAAGAGAGACTTCGCCAATCGATCGAGTATCTTGCCAAAGTTCGGTCACAGTGAAAAATTGACATATACTTTTTATTTCATATTCGGATTCTACTATTAAAACCGGGGTTATGAAAAATAAAAAAAACTTTTTGACTTATTGTGGCTGAGTTATTATAGAATTTACAAAATGAGCACCATCGTCGATTTGCGCATAGTCTGCCATCTCTGATATTTTGACTATAACTCCACCGTTTTTTATCCGTTTTGTTCGAGTAACATCTCATTCGAAAACCTGATAAAAAGTAAACAAAATTACATAGTTTTTAATTTTTCTGAAGTAGGAAGTGACTGTTTAAAACACACATTAATTGGAGAATTGGCATTTTGAAGCGTTAAAGTTTTCGAGAAAATGCCACTTTCGACCCTCCAAACAGAATTTCGCCAACAATTCGAAGGCCACATGCGATAGCGAATTCAATTTTCCACAAACTGAGGCCAAAAACTTTGTTCTAAAAGTGGTGTAAAAGTTCCAAAACTTGAAAACAACATGACCGACTAACCGTGAGGTTTCAGTTTTTTGAGATTTTAGTCATCAAAACTTCACTTAAAAACAAAAATAAGGTGATATTTGGAATCAGCGTCAAAAACTGCATCAGATAATGTGCCATTGAAAGTTTTTAGAGAAACGAAAAATGTTGACAACATTTGCTCGGAAGCTGAACATAACTGTCTGAATTTTTCAATGTCAGTTTTTCACTCGCGACTTGATTTCTTTATGGGCTGGCGAATCGTCTCTTAAGTTTGGTTTTGCGAGCCGTTCGAGCATTTTTGTTATTCCAAAAATAGCTTTTTTCTAAAAGCGCGTTCATTCGATTCTACACACAAAACGGGAAGCAGAAAAACTTTTAGATTTTCATGCGTCATATTCACTGACATACTGAATTTTGAAATGTAGCTGGTGTCAGTTTTGCAAGAGGTAATATATCCTAGTTTTAGAGCGCGACTCAAGTTCGCTGATCTCGTGCTACACATGATTCGGGAAGAATAACGAAAACAGATTAGCCAGGTCATCTAGTACATTTTTATGGTTAGTTTTATCACGCCCAGAAAGCATCAGTCTATTTAGAAACTAAAATTTTCAAATTCTTATTCTGCAGTAACGATGAAAATAATTGCCATAGGTTATCTAAAAGGCGACCATAAGTTTTTGACCTCAAAACGGGATATGAATGAGCCTGTAGAGGAAGACCTGCTCTATCCAGTGATGTATATATTATTGAATATGATTGCTACCATCAGAGAAAATTAAACTAGAAATGCATAGCTCTGACATTTTTGAAGAGAGGTCTTTTTATGTCAAAACCAGAACCGTGTAAACACAAGCCAAAGTCTTACACAACGCTATGCATAGCGTTCGATAGCCCACACTGTCTACTTTCATAATCCATATCACTTTTATCCATATTCGAACTATGATCTGATTTATAATAATTTGGAAAAAAGATTCTATTTATCGTGAAACAGCACCTATACTTTCATATTTGGCGACGTGAAATATATTTCAAATACCCAGAATTATAGAGCCTTCTTTTCTCTACAAAATGATATGTGGAAGAGCACTTTATGACTTTACTTATCAATCTTATTAACACTTTACTGAGACATGGCAATACAAAACTCTGCATGTCACATGTACGATTTGCGCTGGTAGTGTACCGTCGATATCCGAGAAATAAAATTGCATTAATTTTTCTTGTACTGAATAAACTTTCTTTAATTTTCTTTTGTTTTGTTTGTCTAAGCTTTGTCCACTACCGTTTAAGCGGACAACTCTCTAACTGCTTTCGTCGCCAAGATATAATGGTTGCATTGTCGCAGGTGGAGGTTTTTAGCGCCGCCTGTCGTTGAAATATGAATTTTTTTCTAAAGACTGAATGAGTTCTAATTCTTTTTCTTATGAACTTGAAGTAGAAGACTAAGTTTCTCAAAATATGTAAATGGATTAACGGTTTACTGCAATTTTCTATGTAAATAAATCCAAATAATATGTTGTTACAAACATTTTGATCTTTTTCTGTCCGGTGAGGCTGAATCTCGCGTATCTCAGCTAAAACTAAACGTAAATATTTTCTGAGATGCACACGAAAATTTTGCCATAGGCTTAACAGTTTCACGAACTCAGGCTCTCTCGATACCTATACATTTTCCGCTGGTATTGTATGGTGTGAGTGAAAATTTCGAAAAAAATAAACTTGAATAAGATCTTTGTTCCGTTACTGGGTTATATAATGTTAACATTGGTGATTAAGGGAAAAAAAGTTTCCCGACTATCAGTCTCTTTGTTCTCTTAAAATTCAACTTTTTCTTTAACACAGCTATTATCCGTTGTCAGAAATGAATGAAAACATAGGTTATCGACTATACTGAATCTTGTGAGCTTTCAGAACAAAATGCAAGAACCAAGTGAAAGCCTATACTAGATGATGATGTTAGCTTTCATAACAAAATGCAAGAACCGAGTGAAAGTCTATACTAGGTGAAATAACCCATTTTTGATTATTTTCATCAAAAATTAAAAAATTCATAACTCACTCAAAATCCATCCAACCAATTGTTAATGAAAATAAATCAAAAAAGGGTTATTTCACCTAGTATAGACTTTCACTCGGTTCTTGCATTTTGTTATGAAAGCTAACATCATCATGACATTTAGCATAGTCGATAACCTATGTTTTTATTCATTTCTGACAGTCACAAATCTAACGGCAGAGGAGTGCTGAGACTTCGGGAAAGCCGTCCATAGCTTCCGAGCCCCTTATTTCCGAGTTATTCAAACAATAATGACCGGCCTTCCTTTTTGGAACGGATAGTAACTATGTTAAAGAAAATGCTGAATTTTAAGAGAACAAAGAGACTGATAATCGGGAAACTTTTTATCCCTTAATCACCAATGTTAACATTATATAACCTAATAACGGAAAAAGATCTTATTCAAGTTTATTTTTTTCGAAATTTTCACTCACGCCGTACAAATACCAGCGCAAATCATACATATACAGACATACGGCTTTTGAGCACAAGTTGTTTTATATGAATGAATATAATACAATTTGATTTATTTAAAATGAGATGTTTCACTTCATTTTGAATTCGATATGCCCTTCTGTGTTAACACATCAGGTAACTTCCTACCACGCCATATTTCCATTCCCTCTGGGAATCAGAAATCTCCTTAATCAATGGTATTAAGGAGGTATCATAAGCTGCGCCGAAACTTGGTCGGAAACCAATTGACCAACGGACTATATCATGAGGTGATAATTTTCTTTAAATATTGTGAATGGCTTAGATTTTCTTCGTTTGTTAAAGTAATCTGCGTGCAAGACAAGCGGCTTCAAGGGACGCCGAGAGCCCAGAGCAGACACGGACTCGAATTGACGATCAACGTTCAAGGCAAGGTGCCTCTCGAGCAGCTGAGAGTCCCGAGCAATCACATCATAAGGTGTCGCCAACTCTCCCACCAGTTTTGTGGTTGACATGTATGTCAAGATCGAGAGTGAGCGATTATTGTTTGTGCGTCTCAATCAAAAGAAACTTAGAGTGGATGAATACATTCACTTAAAAGATGCTATAGCCAATGATGAACGAGTTGGATCAATATGTGTTAGCGAATGAACCGTTACTGGTGATAGACCAGAGAGCTGCTTACAATGCCATATTAGACCGAACCAATAGGAAAGCTGATGGAATAATTTTTCTCGATGCAGCGGGTGAAACAGGAAAGACATTTGTCATTAACTTACTTCTGGCTAAAATTCGACAGCAGTCAAAAATTGCAATTGCAGTGGCATCTTCGGGGATTGCTGCTACGTTGCTTCACGGTGGTCGCACTGCTCATTCAACACTAAAGCTGCCTCTCAACCTTACACATTGTGAAGCTCCTCTCTGCAACATCAGCAAAGGAACTGGGGAAGCCAAGGTTCTACAAGAGTGTGAACTTATTGTGTGGGACGAGTGTACAATGTCACACAGACAAGTATTAGAGGCCTTGGATCGTACTCTTCAAGATCTCCGTGGCAATGGGAAACATATGGGTGAAGTTGTTGTACTCCTTGCGGGTGATTTTCGTCAAACGCTGCCTTTTATTCCAAAGGGAACAATGGCTGATGAGATTAAAGCATGTTTAAAATCGTCACGCCTATGGAAACATGTTATACCGCTGGACCTCAAAACCAACATGCGGGTTCATTTGCAAGGTGATGCGTCTGCTGGCCGTTTCGCTCAACAACTGCTCAGTCTTGGAGATGGAAAACACCAGCTGATCGAATCACTGGACTCATCCGTACTCCGGATACTTTTTGCAATGTCGTCGAAGATCGGACAAGGCATGCGGCCTCCAGAGCAGCCGAGACTCCGGAGCCATAACTGATAGGAGACCATAACGATGTCTTTTTCTAATATGTCAAGTACGTAGTATCAAATTTTTCCGAGCAACGCCGGGTACTTCAGCTAGTAAATCATAACCGAGAGGGATTTCTTTCATTTGATGATGATCAATCGACCGATGCTTTCTTACGGAATAATCCTCATCGTTTGTATGGTCATCAAATGTCAGTTACATATAGATGGAAAGAACATCCAAATAAACACATTGTTCCCTGATGTTCATTTGTCAGTGGATTAGATCCATTACGTGTGACGAAGAAAGAAGAATATTTCGAATAGTTTGATGGAAAAATAAGAAGTAGTGATATAATCACACAACGCGGACAGGCTTTTATAACCTTTTTTGGTTATACCATAGCAAAAGCGCTCCAGCCGAAACATCTAGATGCTCTAGGTGAAGAATTGAGTTAGCCGGTTGCATTGCACAACACATCTGCATGCACCAAGTTAAACCCTATGCAAATGTCCATTCATGGGCAATGTTAAATTTTGTGAAACTCCCTTTCAAGTCTTCACAGAAGACGAAGTTTCAGTTATATACTCAAAAACAAGTGTTATCATGGTTTTTTTTAACCTGTTTAAAATCTGATATCACTTCTGGTCACAACCTCTTATGTACGTGTGTGATATCGATTGATATCAGGGGAATGTTTTTTAGGCAATCACAACCTCTTCATTGGTCTGTCACAGTCTCTCAAGAGAACCTCGTAATCGGTCGGTCTCAACCTCTTATTCGTTCTCGCTGCTTTTTATTAACCTATCTCGATCAGTATAGGGAGTTTCACCTTTTGATACCGAATGTACCACTCTGATAAAGCTTTTTAAATTAATCATGTTGTTATCGTAGCAAATGAGATTTAGAAAAACGATGATATTTCTCTCTTTCTTTTGCGATGAAAAACTAGAATCTTCACGTCACCCCCTTAATTAGATAGATCTATATATACATCACTATTTTAAAACACCTCTTACCAACAAAGGTGAAGAAAACAGATTTTTGGGTAAACAATATATACATGGTTATCCTTAGGAACGAAAAAATTCCATAACTTAGTAAGGAATAGTGATGGAAGGCTGGAATTCTCTGTGACTATAATAGACATCTAGCACTACCACAGAAAACATTTTCGGCCTTTCATACCGTGTTTTGACTGAGTTATAGGATTTTTAATAATTTATGTATAGGCAAAATAAAAAAAATTCATAAATTCATTCTTTTGAAAGAAGCAATAAGAACCCAAATCCTTTTAGAGTTTTTACTAAGACACTACAGAGCATCTATAGGTAAAAGATCATTCAAATCAGAGTTGAATATCTGGGATGTTCCCTCGTAAGAGAAAATGTAAAATAAGAGAAAAAAAATAGTTTTAAGTACTTTAATAAACTAAAATATTTCTAAATTGATTAGACTTAAGGGGGAGAGGAGTGCTAGAAATAGATGTTTAAGGGGGGACGGATCTCACAAAAAGGTACTATTAAACCTTCACAGATTGTAGAGAATACCTGATCGTAATTTTTGATGAAAATGGCCTAAAATGGATTATTTCACCTAGTACAGGTTTTTACTCCGTTCTTGCACTTTCTTCTGAAAATTAACATTGTCACGATATTCAGGGTGTTCAATAACCTATGTTTTCATGATTTCAGAAGGTCCATAACGAAGAATAAAGCAGTCCTAGGGCTTCGGTAAAAACGTCCAAATAATAGCAGAAGAAAAAAGGTTCAAGTGGAAAAATAAACCAGATTTTCAAAGTTTTCATTTTTTCGTCTCTTGTATAATCTGCATAGTTTTCTTGATTGACGTTCTGAAATTGAAGTTTAGGTATGGTTTTGTAGAGTATTTCGCGGCGCATCTTTTTAAGAAAACATTAACCTTTGGATCCTAAAGAAACACGAGAAAAATAGAAAATACTACTTTATCCCAGGCGCATATATTTCTCAATCTCATTTATTTTTCTTTATTATGTGTAAGGATATATTACAGTGAGAAGAATATTCGATTTTTAAGTGATGGCGCATACATGAAGTTGATGTCGATTGAGAACGTTACAGACAAATTATATTTCAATAAGCATTAGTTAAAGATGTCCCAGATAATTTCAGAGAAATAAATTTCGAGTGATTCAAGTAATACTGAGTATCTTCTCTATTATATCCTTAGGAGCTACAAAAAATCGCTTTCCAAACTGAGATCCTGTTTTTTTTCTTAATTATAAAAAGTGATCTCAATTAAGAATGAGGTTATTATTACATGTACACAGTTTTCAAAGTTCAACTTTGAAAATGATCAAATAGAGTAGTCTAATATTTTGTAATGTGCATTACATTTAGTATGCAAAAGAATAGCTATATTAAATATGAATTAAACATTTGAAATTTGATATAGCAATCGTTTCAATTGAAACGTTTGAACTATAATTAATAGTCGAAAGTTTCTTATCAAATGTTAGAAGAAACTATGGAGAAATTTCAAACACATTATAACGCTTGTATACATATGTTTATTGTACTTAAAAAATTCCTATAAAAACATTGAGGAACAACAAAGAAGAGTGATTCAAAAAAGAAGAACAATGAAAATATGATATTATGAAATCAAATTTCTATATGCACATAAAAAAAATTGTATAATAATCAATTAAATATCTTGTGACGAGCCAAAGTTCTGATAATTAGCTTCATTCTAGTGTTTACGAACAGCATGGTGTAATGTGAATTGTTTTGCTTCTTTATTGTAGTTTTCTCTGTTATCTCTGTACATGCGAGCAGCATCTGGATCTGCATTTGAAACAAAGATTTTTCATCCAAACATACATCCAGCTGATGGTAGTGTTAGTTTTAGTAACGCGGATACAAGAAGTTGGACATTCAGAACGCCTGTAAGCTCACTGTTATCATCGGTGTCCACTTTATTAATGGAACCATGTGTAACCCGTGATTCCCGTGATCCCGTGATTCCAACGGAAACTTTTTGTGAATAGGCCAGTCGTGTAGGGCAAATATTTCTGAACAAAACTAGGCGTTGCCGAACTCTTCACAATGTTTTTTCATCGAACTGCATTTAATTTACGAGAGGTCCCTCGGTCGATTTCACTTTTTTGCTCTTTTTCTAATAATTTTGCTGATTTTGATGTGAAGGGGCCTTTTGTAAATTGAATGCAATTCCATGAAAAAACATCGTGGAGAGTTCGGCAACGTCTAGTTTGCTCAATTTTGACCGCCGATGTACAATCTACTGTTGCTTTCCCGTGTCATAATTAACTTCTGTTGCTTCTTTTTTTTCGGATGTTTTGACTGAATCAATTGACTTTAACAACGTTAAGACGTTGAATGGCTCTGAAAGGTGCTTTTCTTGACGGAAGGACAAGGGAACTACGTCTTTCCCTCCCGATAGCCGATGGGTGCTATAGTGATTCAAAATACTTCAATTTACCATCAAACACTTCAACGAACTATAATAACTTCCAGTAGTAATGATGAAAAGCAAAAATATAAAAGACACCTTATGCGGACTTAATACGACCAAACACGTTGTACTCCGAATGTCCATTTTCCTGCCTGAAAAGCGTTAATAGTTCTGACAATGTTGGAATCAATTATCCAGAATATTGAAAAGTATGATCGAAATAAATTCATTTAGTGATTCTGATAATCGAAAAGCAACTTCTCACCTTGCAAAATAATAAAAAAACTTGAAAATGCTTTAGAAACTTCATAATGTTTTATACGATATAATTTAAGTTAAAATGGCACTGTTCTGAAATGTAGTTTAAATTTATCTTATGTATGTCAACTCAAAATAAATTATTTTTGGAGAAGAAGTTGCTGTTAAATATTTATAACCGATTCTTTGGTCAGAAGTATGAATTTTTCGAATTGTGAACAATGAATTTTGCCAAATGTTGTGTTCAACAACTCAGCCTTTACAACACAAGCTAGAACTTGTATCTGACGTTGATTGAGTTAATCAGTTATTTTGGCTTTGTTTCAAGCTGGCAGTAGACACTATATGTAATCATTAATGTACTACCTAGAGAAAGTACAAACAGTTCAATTTGAAACCTATCCATGAATGAAAAATCAACCTTCAAAATTCGCCACATTATAGTTATCAAATAAAGCTTATAACATCAACTTTATCACGCTTCATAACACATGCGACTGTCAAATAAAAAGTTTGCAAATTCTGTTGGACTATTTACTCAATCGACTGGACTGGAATATTTTTTTGAAATCTGTGGACTGAATACAAAACTTTGAACTCAAAATTTTGAGTCTATACGGAACTCTGTTAGTAAGTGAACATTCATAGAGTCAATATTCCAGAACCCGAAGGCATGAGAGAGCAATTGAGAATAATTCCACAACTTTAGTTTTATGTTTATTTTTATATCATGCTTTACCGTCAATTATTTTTCTTTTTGATTTCTTTCAGTTCAAATAAATAAACGGTCCTTTCTGGAAACTATTCCTCGTCGAAAAAGAAGTGCAGTTGAAGTTTATTATACGTTCTTTGTTGGGAAATCAATAACTTATGGCCCTCCGCTATCATCGTGCACCATAAGTAGCGCAGATTGAGTTATCAAAAATGAGATTTGACTAACACTTCCAACGAAATATAATTCATCTTTAAATGTCAATGCGCTTCTTTTTATTGTCTATTAGTTACACCGCCTTTTAATGAAGTATGCGATTTATCTCATTACGTTTCTTATCAACAACAACAATTTCATCCGGAGCAAAATACAGCGATGAAGCACCATAACTATTAATAACGAAAAGTTTTACAGCACGTAATATTGAATCATATTCAGTATTTTCTGGAAAAGAAAAAGAATGGTTAATATGTCAACATGTCAACGATTTCTAGTTAGTGAACCTATTTTTAAGCCAAAACTGAAGACCTTTAATCAAGTACAAAATCAAAATTTATTTATAAGAATAAGTTTGACTTAGACAACTTTGTTTGTTAGCAAAGGCGAT